CCCAGATGAGTATCGTATTATGGCCAAGATGTGGGGTTAACTAGACAACATTTACGTCAAAGAGCTGCAACATGAACGATTGCAGCTGCATCATCAGCAACTGTGCGCCTGCCACATGAGCCAACAACAACGGCAACAACAAAATTCCAGTCTGTCTGCATATTTGAGACTTTGTCTGGCAGACATGACTGAAAAATGCATGAGCCAACGACATCGGCGCCCAACTGGCCCCATATCGTATGCTAATGTCAAACGCCCACAAATCCCACATAACCGTTATTATATGTCCACTTCAGCCATCCCCGCATTAAGCTTCAACTTTTGCCTCAGCTTCAACAATCTAATCATCATCAGGATCGATTGTCCACGTTCGTGTCTGCCGTTTGTCCAGTGCAACATATTGGCCACGGTTACGGCTTACTCTGCACATTCTCCATCGTTCCTCTCCATCCGCTCCCTACTCAGTCATTTTTGATAAATTTATGCACATTATTTGTCCTGCCGCATGTCGTTTTGATTTTTGCGCAATCCTTTTGCACATTTCTGATACGTCATTTGCATGCAAAACTAACTGAACGCCCAACTACAGATATAGAATTTAAGGGTTTGTTTTTTTTTTAAACCCGTGCCCCCTAAAACTGGATGAGAAGCGGATTAATTAAGTTTACTGTAAGATTTAAATATCTGTAGGGGAAAATAGTAGCTGCGCAATAACTGCAGAAAATAGTATCCGTGAGATATCTGTGTATTCGTGAAATATAAAGGTAGTTGTAAGTGAGAGTAAGTATTGTGAAAATACAAAGGTATCTGTGAGATAAAAAATCATTATAGGGAAATGATATAACATAATTTGAAAGATGAACGAATGTTTAACAAACTAGATTAAGATGCAAAAGTATCTTTGATTAATTGTATCTATAGAACGCAAAATCAGAATAGAAACACATATTTTGATTCGTGGAAATATTTCTTAAAAATGCACATATAGCTGGAGATGCAAATTTACGTTCTAGACGAAATCAAAAAAATCTGCAAAATTGAGAAGCAAAGATATTTTCGAGTAACCAAAGTATATATTTTACTTATCTATAAACGAAATGCATGCAAAAGTATTTGTGTAACACGAAAATATTTATAAGCAACAAAAGCATCTGTAAAATACATAAGTATTTTTGAAAACCAGACGAATACTTATAGAGCATAATATGTTCGATTTTACTTTTTGTCTGCCAACATTTTTGCAGCATTGTATCGGTCACTTGGCTTTGGTTTTTGGTTTTGTTGTGCACTTTGTGGTTGGTACATGTCCCTTAACTGCATTTGACTTTGGGCTTTGCTGACCATTGTTTACAGCAGCAGTTGGTCGAGAGGAGCTGCTCGGAGCATGGCCAGCCTGGCAGCTGTATGTGAGCTAGGCAAGTGTTGCCAGTGAAAGAAGAACAATGCCAAAAGCCACTGGAGCTCGTGTCCAGCTGGTTTAAGCCCTGCCTCTCCAAGAGTTTGCCTGAGTGTGTCTGTGTGTGTGTGTGTGTGTTGTTGTTTGTCCCTTGCAGCTGCAGCATGTACTCGTACCAATATTCAACATTTCTAATAACAATTTTTTGGTGTGAACATCATGTATGTGTGTGCCTTGTGTGTATGTGTGAGTGTCGTGTCGCTACGCATACGGGCAAAAAATTTGCATATTTGATTATTTTATATGGCATTTGAAAAGCAATTTATATTCATGAATTTGCAAATTAGCAAACGTGTGGCGGCCTCATCAAAGTTTAATCATTAAATTTCAATTTTAAAAGTTTAAAGCTGCCCATGCCGCATGCTGCATTCCACAAGCTGCACGGTGGGAGCGCAGCCTGCCGCACTGTAAGTCAGCGTCGAGCTGCAATTTATCTGCTGCAAACTAACGTAACCCCTCGCGTACGCTCTACCCGTCAATTCCCAGTTTATCGATAATTGTTGCAAATTTTTTGAGTTTATGTGGCAAGTTTGAAGCGTAAGTTTACCACGCGTGTGTCAATTATGCAACAGCTGCGGGCCAAGTTAAACAAATAATAAAGTTTCTAATTATAAGCAATGCCGGCAAAGTTGAGCTCAGTTCCTTTTGGCTACATTTAGTTGATAGCAATCAACTTGAGAGATGACTTCTCGTTGCAGCAGAACGAACAAGAATTGTGGCAACTTCAAGCAGTGCGTGCGTGCCGATGCCTCCTCCGGCGTGTTCGTGCAACTTTGTCTAGAGTGTGTCCGTGTGTGTGTGTAAGTCAATGAAATTAGTGCCAGCAGGCATAAGCCAAACCGAGTCGCAACGGAAGTGCTAGTGCCGAGCATCCTTGTCTTTATGACATTTACATTTGACACCAGCATCATCAACCCCCAACTCAATCCTAGGCAACCCAACCGGCAACCCGGCATAAAAAGTTGAACGGCAAAACTTATTGGTTTCGCCTGCTGCTGATAATCAAAAAGGCGAAAACTCAAATAATTTGCGGCAGCTCATAAAAGTGTTCGACTGGCCATTTCCTTTAGCCAAGTTTAGAACAATTTTCAAGTTTCCCAAATAGCGTAGAGCATGCGACCCGGAAAGATCTAACTCTCGGCGGATATAATAAAAGAGAAAAAACTCTGCACAAGTTTTACCACTGAGATGATACAATTATTGTGAGCATTTCGTATGATAAGTGACTAATTTTATTAATTTATATGTGCAGCCATATAATATTTTCATCCTTCTGAACTCACTTAAGCAATCACGAATGCGAACTGATTTATTCTGGATTTTAAGCATCTGTTGGGCAAGTATCCGTTTCCTTCGCGAGTATTTGATCTTTGGTTTTTAGAATAATATCCACCCATTTCTCCCATTTGATTTTCCATTTTGTCATTGCCAGCGCCTTCTCTTCATCGGGCAGTGAACTATATTTAATAGAGTTTTTGGAGATGCGTTTCAGAAACTTCAGGTCCGTGTACATGGGCTAATGAAAAGGCATGGTTGGGTGAAGCCAAATTTTTAAGGGGACTAGAGCTCACCGCAATGCCCAAAAAGGCCATGTAAAAGTCATGGGAGAGCGGAGAGGTGCGCCAAAACGAGGGATTGCCGGAAGAGATGACAAAGGGTATATCGTTTGCAATCAAACAGGCAGCAGGATGATTGCGATAATCGGCGCCCAGTTGCAGTACTTGGCTGCAAACGGGACAAACCTCTATGGCAATGTCTAGTTTCTTAACCAGCTGCAACACCAGCGGATGCTTGGTTATGGCATAGGCGTGGCCGATGCGCTTGGTACCCAGCAGCACAGCGTCTATGAGATTCTCATCGACGTGTGTGCCATACCAGTTGGTCTGGCCCGCATGTAGATATAGACCGATGTGGGCCGGCAGCCTCTGCAGTTCACCGGCAAAGTTTAACAGCGGGTCACCCACATCCTCCTGGCCAATCAGATCGAAGCCAACCACAAATTTGGGAAACTCTTTCTGTGATGGATAAGTGACGACAGTTTAAGTGAGCGCAAATTGGGATAAATTTCAGTTATTTCTACGCACATTAAGCTCAATGCACATATTGACAAACTTGCCGACCTCTTCGACTGTGGCACGACGCTGCGGCGAATAGATGATTCTTGCGTCTATAAAGTCCGGATAGTCCTCTTTGAAGCGTTGCACGTGCTCCTGGTAGACCTTAACAGTTTCTTGGACCGGCAGCTTGGTCCCGTCCAGGCAGTAAAAACGCTTCAGCCTTGTGCGCACCTCCACATACTGTGCTCCATCCTCGTAGAACTCCTTAAGCGCATTGTAGAAGTACTTACCCCAGACTGGCGGATATCTAAGAAGCCCGTCGAGAAGCAAGGAAATTTTCATCAAGTGTTGCCAAGCTGCGGCACTTGTTGTTTTCTCTACCATAGGATACATGCTAAAAGCATTCTGCAAATGTCTGTTTAGGTTCTCCTCGCCCCGGTAGTCACGTAACTGTTCCATGGTCTGCCATTCGCCGCCCTCAATTCGCGTATCAGTTGGCTTCTCCTGGGAAAAGTGAAAGCTTCGCAGTCTGCAGCCATTGTCCGTGGTACACACCCACAGATGCTTTTCGTAGGTCAGCTTGATGAGAAAATCGGTGCTGCACATGGACCTAGAGTGTGCCTTGAGAGCGCCACCCTTGGGCATCTTGCTGAGCAGAAAGAACAAACGCGATTCCTTGATCTTGCCCAAACGCTCAAAGATGTGATAGCCCGGCACAAACTGGCTGGGATCAGCGATGCCCTTATTGTACTCCTCCATCTTGAGGTACATGATCACATCGTTCACCTCGATCTCCTTGTTGGTCAGCTCTATGTCATTGCCCAAGGTCCCAAAACGCTCCAATGTGCAAACCAGCTCACGCAGTTTCCTAAAATCCGCTGGCGTGCTTTTGCGCAGGTTGCTTTGACCAATTAGCTGAGTAAATGCGCTGCCTGTCAAATGACGCCTTATTTGGCCAAAGACAACGTAGCACCGAATCATTGAAAACATCTAATTTTGTTGTCTAAATTTGAATTTTCAGTCAAGGATAAGTCATAAAATATTTATCAATGTGCCCAAGTTGGTCCTGACTGTGGATCAAAAGTGAGTTCTTAAACGGACTTTTGCAAAGTTAAAGCTCCAAGTGAATTCAAACAGTGGCCTCAGTTTGTACGAAAAAAATCACCAGGAATGCAGCAAACGTGAAATCAAGGGCATTCCTGACCAGGAAGCAAGTCACCGATTCAAATCGAACAGCAATTTCGCAGTAGCTAGTATCTCTTCTTAAAAGCTTAAACTAGATTTCCTCATATACCTACTTATCGCAACAGGCCAAGCCAAATTGTAAGCTGCCTCGCACATAAAGTACATTTAGTTTTTATAAATATATAGCTTAATAAGTGTTAATATGGTTATTGTTTAGTCAGTGTAAAGTCTATTCGAATGGAAAAAATCAGATAGCTCTTTTTGATATCTTTTGAGCACTTTCATAATTTGTATTCTGTGAATTTTACATCATTTTCAGTCTGTTTGCTGTCGAGCTTAATTTTAAATTGTGTTTTTGAAAATGAACTGTCATTAAACGTAAACTTTTGGTTTGATTTTCAAAAACGCAAGCGAAGCCAGAAACCACTTAAATGTGTATAGACAACACTTTGGTTAGAGTTGTGTCACGTACTTGAACTTTGTTTGTTTCCAGGCCAAGCTCTAGTCAAGGTGAGCTCCCCTACAGACACACACACACACACACACACGCTGCTCATGCCAAGTAGCACACACACTCTGATTTATTTGCTGCTTACAAGATTTTGCTTAAGTGTTTTTTAGCAGCATTACTTTACTTACTCAGTAAACTCCCTCAAACCCCGTGTGTCTTCCATACACGGAGTATTCCAAGCAGAGCCCGTTACAATTGCCCAGGGCCATGAAACTTTTCAAGTGTTAACGAGTTTTGTTGCACACATGTGTCGATTGCATACGTAGTGCACTTCGCTTGAAAACTTGCACGACATTTAAGCAACAACAGCAGCAGCTGCAACAACAACAGCAACAACAACAGCAACAAAAACAACAACAACGGCAGAAGGAGCGACAAGTGGCAAACTGATATGCAGCTCTTTCACTTTGCCAGAGCATAGAATTTGATTTCGTGCAAAAACAATTTGCATCTTAATTGCATACTAGAAAAAGAAAATAAGGATACAAACAACTCAGTCAGGCAGCTACTTCTATAATTTGACTAACTCGTGTGTTACTAGAGAACGAAGCTGCAAGAGAGAGTGAGATAGAGGAAGAGAGAGAGAGAGCGAAACAAGTTACCTTCTTAGCTGAGATAAACATTAAGGCAAACTATTCGCTAATATTGCAAACTTATGTTTATTTTGGTATTTGGTTGCACTTAGTTCTAAATCGATTATATTAACGATAATCGTTAACGCAGAAGGCCCAGAGATAGCACTTGTGTCTATAAATTACCAGAAATATAATAGTTTGAATTATCCTTAAAATATCTAATTAAAATAAACTTCTCTTTTAATAAGGTTTATTTATCATAAGCACACATAAACGCACAATTGTATTATTTCCATAATTTAGGAGGATGGTAGAAAGTCCTTTGTATCTTTTTTTGTTTTTTATTTGCAGTGCAACCCAAACTTCCAATAAAAGTATTTTTTATTGTTACTTAAAGAAAACTATTGAAAAATAAGTATAAAATATTTGAAAATTATTTTGCACTCCTGCTTTTATTCAATTGAGTCCACATTTCTGGTGCTCGCACATGTTTTGTGTGCTACTAAATCGAAATCCCTAGTTGAATTCAGTTCTAGCTTGCTTGTCTGTTCTGTTCACGCCGTCTACACATAGGCACACAGCATATCCTTGCATATCATCTGTTTTTGCCCCTCGTTTTTGTCTGTTACAAATTATGCTCATATAAATTTTTATAAAACATTTCTGGCGTTGCCATTTTATTTTATGTTTCTTTTTGTAACAACTGCGTCTCATACACTCACTTACACCAGCGCACTCATCGCACATACATCCACAGCCACACACACCCATTCATATCCACTCACCAACTGCCTTACATTTTGCTGCGCACAAAAGTAGGCAACAAAATGTGCGCGAGGCGAAACGGGTTTTATGTCTGCAGCAAAAATGAAGAGCAATTCACACTTGAAAAGTTTCAACATGCGTTTTTAAGTCGCACACAAAGGAGACCCAACTATTTTATACATATACATATGCATAATAATATTTGTTGTTTTTTTAATTGTAGATAACTTTAACCCTTTAAGGAACGAAAATTTACTAGAATAAAAAGAAACTTTAAAGCATTTAAGTTAATGTGGGATCGATTATTGGGTGAGGACCAGAATTTGTCAAGTACTTAATTATAATTATAAAGACAGAACATAAAGAAAACCCTTAATTAAAATATGAGAGAATATTAAATCTAATTTTAAAAAGCAGAACAGGGCATTATAAAAATACATTTTTATTTGATCTAGATCCACATAATTGGGAATATCAGCATATACCCATTTTGGGATTAAAGATGTCTCCCTTCTGGCTGCACAGCCTAACCTTACTTTTTGATGGATTAAAATCGGATAACGTTGATATAAATGCGTGGGTACTCAACTGAAATTATGTTTTTATATAAAAAAATTATGGAAAATATATACATGATAAATGCTTATTATTGTAGGGATATGCTACCTTGTAAAACACATGCGTATTGCTTTGGTTCATTATTGCGCATTTTGGTGTGTTAATGTGTGTGAATATGAAGCTGATGGCTGCCCCTAAAAACAGCTGCAAGCCCGGCGCCCATTGCCATTTGTGCGTGCATAATGGTAGGTCGGAGACGTTGCCCCATAAAAAAGGGTTCGCACTTTGGAATTTGTATGTGTATGCATGTGTGTGCATGCGTTTGTGTTTGTGTGTGCGGCCTTGTGTATCTTTATGTTTATTTCAGTTTATTGTGGCACTTTGGAAGCCTTTTGCAAGTTTATTTTTCGTGCCGGGGCAAGCTAACTAATTTAATATGCATAAATGCTAGCACATGTTTCATAAATGGCATTTTAAAGCCGCACGAAATGGGTTTATTATGTAGGCTACCCGCTTACCACATTTCGCATACAATATGAATTTCTATTAATGCTTTTTATGCTGACTTTGCCAGGCTCAACAACTGTCTGTGTTTGTGTTTGGGCATGTGTGTATGGTGTGTTGTTCTCTGTTGTAAAACACCAACGTATAATTTCCGCACATGCAAACATATGCAGACACACAGGCAGGCTAAAATATTTGCATGCAATAGTAAAAGGCAAGGCAGCAAAAAAACTGTTGCATACTTTTGTGCGCACCCAAAACTCTCGCACAGCTTCACACAATGAACTCGCATTTAATGTCATAATTAAACGAAACAGAACGCCATGGAAATTGTCAAATAGCTGCAGATAAGCCAAAGCTCTGACTGTCTATACCCCTACACCCCTACACCCCCAGCTACTGCCGCGCTCGTGATGTCTGTTGGCCAAAATGAACGACATTTAGACGCGCCGTTGCCAACAGCTATTGAAACTCTTTAGCGCGCAATGTGTGTGCAGCATTCGTAGTCGATGCCAGTGCTCCACTTGCCACTCGGCGCCAACCCCTCCCTACCCACTGGCTTTATGATGGCAGCTTAACTGGAAACAATGGCTGTTCCCCCCGCAGCCAGTCACCTTGACGTCTATTTGTTAAGCTTGCGGCTGGCATTTTTATCTGTTGCCTGTTGTCTTTGTCTTTGCCGCATTGTCATTGTCACAATAGCCAAAAATTTGTGCTAACATACACACACACATACACACACACACGCAGACACACACAAAGGCACACACAAAGGCACACACAAACTGTTTGATTACAAATTTTTGCGTTTTGTCAAATTGATTTGTCTACGAGCAGCACGTAGACAGCTACCCTCGCCTTTATATTGTCACCATACCCTAACCTAAGCAATTTACATTTTGACGCGCTTGACGGTTTGAATTGCGCGGCACGTTTGCTGCCTATTTGAATTACGAGTATGTCAATAGCATTGGACGCGTTTTGCCTGCGTCTTCCTTTTGGCCATCTCAAATAAATGTCAATAAAATATCGCAGCTACTTGTGACAGCAGCCAAAGTGCTTAAAGCCAACGCATTACTTGAGTGTTGAGAGCTATTTCAGGTTATTTGAAGGTATATATCGACATAATCCTTTACAGCTGCCTTAGAAATTTTTAAATATTGTGTACTTCAATAAAATAATTTTTTTTTTTACATTTAATCAACATTCATAAATGATATACAAGCAAGAGATTTGCTCTTAAGGAGAAGACTCATAAAAAATAATATAATTGTAGTTTCTTCGTATATATAAGATCCCCTCTAATGAATTATAGATGCGGAGAAACTATGGCTTTCATACCTTCCAGTTTCTTAATTCAGAAACTTAGGCATAACGTAACAACATCCAATTGCTGTTAACCTTTATATTACTGCTTTCTGTTTTTATTTAAGTCTTTAATGAATTTAACCAAGACATTTTCATTTCTTAAATATTTCGCCCTACCACATCTACATTAAGTGCGGACCGCATGTCTATCACAGCTGCATAAATGAACTTAACATTGTTGAATCGCTCCACAGCCGCCACTTACAATATTTATGGCAATGACTGCATTTGTTAAACAGTTGGCACTTGGGTGGGGGCTTTGTTTAAGCAATATGACTGCATTTCTAGTGGCCATATATAGCAGCAATAAAAGAAATTATATAATTATATTAACAGTCCAGCAACAACCATGGCCAAGCTGGCAGGCATTTAGTGCCGGACCACGAACCAGACTCAACAAAGTGTATAGAGTGTAGCCACCTAAAACAACAAAAATTAAAAAAAAAAAAAAAGAAGAGTAAAGGCCGATCTTTAGAACGCCGAAGCTTAAATACTCTTGGCTTGGAAATGCTTTAATTCAAAAGCTGTATACCAAAGCTTGCTGAAGTTACTAGGAAAAACTACTCCTTACCAATTCTAACTATACTTTCGTATTACATATTTGTACAAATTTGATAAGATTTGTGTAAAAAGCATGACACTACTCATAAATGATGATCTTGGTCAACAATCTGGAAGAACAAAAAGTTTTTGTATACAAAAACTCAATCTACGATTGATAATAATAATGATGGCTGTATGATATAGGCTTCCGATCTAGCAAAAGTACTTACGGATAAAAGACCCAATCGGATGTGCCGTCTTCTATGCGTCACAAATTGCCTAACCAAATTGTAATACCCTCCACAGGGGCATACAAAATGGAAGCAGGGAAAGTGGCATTTTACGTTTATGGCTATGTGGGTGCAGTTCAGTTCGCTGGCTGCTGGAGACCGCTGCGAGCTGGAGCCTAGCTTAAAGGCTAAACGGCAACCAGCAAAACTGCAAACTGCAAACTGCAAATAGCAACAAATGGCTAACGGCTGGCAGGTAATAACGGCAAAGACCTCGACTGCATTTAAAGTGCAGCTGCAATTAAGGTCCCCAACTAATTGTACGGCAACTAAGTTGACTTTTCGTAGCGGGCATATTTTCGTTTAAAATCCATTTTTTTTTTTTGTCTGACAGCCCAAATTTGAAGCATTTTTTTACCTTGTTTGCTGATATTACTAATTTTACTCCAAGTTAGTCTGTGATGTGCTGACAGTGCCCATATTTTAGGTATTATATAGAACTCTTTTGTAGACATCAGTGTGACGGCTGAAAAATTTGTCAACTTAATTAAAAAAAAATACTAACTACATTTGGTAAATAATGTTTATAAAGTATCAGTGTGGCCGTATTTCCAATTTGTGCTTCCACAGAAAGCACATATTTTGGAGCTGCACAATTTGTGGATAGCTTTTAGACATATCCTCTAGCTAGACAGGCCACATACGACTGCCCAACCCTGTAGCTGCCCCTTTGCTGTCGTAAAGCCTCATTTTGCTATGGGTGGTGACTCGTGTGACACACAGAGCACAACTCAGTTAGCCCGGAAGAGCCACAGCTAGTAGATGGAGGGGCAAAACAGCCAGGCAAACATGCATAAAAAAGTTTCATAATAAAATTATTTGTTTGGGCCCAAATAGACAAGTTTTCAGCCATACATTTCATTTGTGCGAAATGTCACTCTGGGGCATATTTTTGCCCAACAACCGAACAACTGAACAACAGAGCAACAACAACGACACCGAGGCAACAGCAAGAACGACAAGCAGACATGTTTGCCAAATTTGCAAGTGAGCTTCAGGATACGCATTGAGGCTGCCAGCCCGGTTCATGTCAATGCCAAGTCAGTAGCAATTAAACATGGCCGAGGCAACTGTGCACTTCGCAGGCTAAACATTTGCATTTAAATAAAAAACTCAAATAAAAATTAAGTGAAAATAAAAATGCAATGCATTTCTGTTGGCGCTTTTCATTAGCCGGGAAGCCATAGCTGCAGCTGCATGCTGCCCCTGCTGCTCCTGCTGCTGCTGTCTGGCATCCAAAGTGACTTTCAGTGTAAACGTCAGCGCTTTGTGCTGTTGACATTTGTGCGCCCAGACGACGACGACAACGCCGACGACGAGAAAGCGGAGAAACGCTGGCGTTGAGGGCAACAATTTGCGATAAACATCTCAGTGGCATGCAAATCCCTTTTAGGAATGCCAACAGGCGCAGAAGTACACTTCAGCATTTTGAAGAAAAAGCAAAAGTAGCTGACAAACGGATGTTAGATGCGGCATCCTATTCGATTTAAGTGGCAAGTCGGAATTAACCAACACTGCCAACATTTACATCAACTTCAAATTGCACTTGATTTTGTGTTGACGGTCGAGCTATGAGCAACACATAGACAGCAAATTAACATGAATTAGCAGAACTAGCAATCATATCTATAAGTGCAATGTATCTGAAATAAGCCACTCTTAAGAGCCTCTCTGAATCAAATAACCAGAAGCTTTTAGCCGAGCGAAATTTTAAAGTTCAGTTTCTTCGTCATTTGAAAAATCGCAGAGCTCCAATGCATATTGCTAAGTCTGTTTAAGCTATTCCTTAACTTTCGGGAATACGCAGCTATTGGATTAGCGAACGCTTAAATCTTCTGGAACTTGCTGCTGCAAAGTAAATGGTAAATACGAAGGATCCTCAGCATTGTTACAATGCCCACCAATTGGACTGACTCCTGCAACAATAGTTGGTACACATGGACATTTTGGGGGTGAAGCCTAATTACATTTTTATATATTTTAAGGGAAGCATATTATTCTTTACAAATCCGAGAAGCTGATTACTCATACATTTGCACTCCCGGTAGGAATCAAATACTTGTCAGAATTGATATCGCTTGGCAAGTCATCAATTCTATTTTAAAAATTTTGAAGTTGTTTGGCCAAAATAAGTAGTTATATAGTTTGACCTGTCAATATGAATAATAACTTAAGCGTCTCCGTGGGTAACCTTCTGACATGTAGAATTAACGCTTAGTCCGATAAAAGTGCCACATATCACAAATGCTCGGTTTCTGATCGCATTCGCAGGCAGTGACTGGTGGCGCTAGCTCAAATTTCTTGCACTCAGAGAAGCTGAGATACGGCGTCTGGCGCTTCACGCAGCAGGAGGGCAAGCGACCAGGATAGCATTTGCCATCCGGTTTGCTGGATCGGCAGGTGACACTACGAAACTTGCAACAGGGCCAGGGCAGAGTTTTTACCGGAAAAAGTCTGGGTGGCGGGGCCCGAGGGCTCTTCGGCAGCTCACAATCTTCAGGCTCACAAGCGGTGCAGAGCTTACCCCGGAATGCTTTTGGATTACGACGCTCAAGTGCCGGATAGATCTTTTTCACATTTCGCTTACGTCTCGGCACCGGCTTGAATTCGCACCAAGTCCTTTGATAATTAAGTTTTAATTTGTCCGTCGGCTTATACCCCTTCACATCCATAGGCACGGCGCAAGGTTGCGGGTGACAGGGATCTGGCTCAATTTCCTGATACGCCAGACACTTGTATTCTGATCGTCGCAGCCTTAAATAGCAGGGCGTACGCAGCTTCGTCTCACGCCGCATTTGACGCAACTTCTCCTTGAGCAATTCGGCGGACAACTTAATCCTTTCGGGATAATCACTAGAGTACCAAAGGACTGGCTGTGCAAGCCTGGCACAGCTCTTGGCTTGCGATAATTTTGTTAAGCTACGTAAATTATTCATATTTCCGAAAGCAAACTGTAAATTTAGTATTGTTTCATGCCAAACGCCTGATTTCGAATATCAAAAAAAGCCTTGGCAAACCATCTAAGTCTGACACAAATCTGACAACAATCTCAAGGCTTCTATGATAACACAAAAAAAAAAAAAAAACAAAAAAAAAAAACCAGAAGGTACAGAATCAAAAATAAACTGAAATCTGAATTTTTTCGTAAAAATTAAATGTCACTTTTTATTCTGTAAAATTAAATATTTTATATATCGGATGAATATATATTTTTCCATTGCGTTTGAAATTATTCACGTGTTTAAACGTGATTTATCGGAACAATTTTGTTTACTTGTTTTTACAACCATTTTATGTTTAAAATTCGAGCGATTTGGGTCGGTATTTTGAGAAAAATTTTGCCGAATTGAATTGAAAATTGTGGTGGTTAGCGCTCAAATTCCCTTCTTTTTCTGTAGTTCTAATTTTCGATTGAAGAGGTGTTGAACGATATAAAGTCGCATACGAAACGCCACAGTCTCTAGAGTTCTAAATGAGTTATCTTATCTTAATTATCCGCTATGACGACTCTTGAATGATCGCCACATATCGCATATGGATGGTGGACTGTAGCACTCTGTATTCACTGCCGCATTCACGGCAGCCTCACACTCTGAGAAACTGGGATAGCGTGTGCGCGGACGCTTGCATGTTGGCTGCACTTTCATATTGATCTTGCAACGGGTCCTTTCTCTGCCCTTAGGGCACTCGCATAGTGGGAACTTGATGCAGCGATCATCCGATGTAGGAGGTACCGGTGTAAAGGGCTTGCACGGCATCGGCTTCATTGTGGGACACTTTTTAATTACAAATCGGGGACAATACGGCCTTTGTATCTTGCGGCGCTTGATCTCCGGGGGCATCATTTTGGCCACGCATCGCTCGGCACGCTTCTCCGGGACACAGTCCACCCAGTTGACCTGGAAGGGACGATGGAGACTCTTGCTCGGCTTGTACAGGCGCGTATCGAGACGGGGTTGATTGAAACAAAGCCCCATACACGTCGGCTTGTAGGGTATATCGCACCGCGGGTAGCCCAAAATGGGAGTTGCCCTTAGCTCAGTATCCGGCTTGCAGGGCTTGCGCTGCTTATAGTATTCTGGCTGTATTTTCACAACCGGTACACATGTCTTCTTATCCTTTATAATGGGCTTTTCGCACTTGAAACTTCCCATCGAACGGGCAGACAGGTAACCCCTTGGCGTCGTACACCGGCATGGCTGAACCAGGTCTTTTAAAAGATGTGTTGTGTAGTTGGCTAAATTTTTAGAACTCATCATCAAAATTAAAAATACAAAAAAAAATTTGGTTTGAGCACAAAACTGCCGGACGGAGCCCAAATGTTTACTGATTGTCTTTTGTGAAAATCAATATAAGTACTTATTACACACTGACAAGTTTAACGCAGCAAGCTAAGGATCGTAGCAAATTTAGAATATGCAGAAACAAGCAGGTATATTCGAGTCGGGAGTGCTCGGCCAGGAGATACCCTGGCCCAGATTTATGAGTGCGTTTTATTTTTATTATTTCGACTGAGTGCGGGCAAGCTATACAAAAAGTGAAATATTCCAAATTTAGTTGTTTTGCATATACATTTGAGGAATTCCTTGTTTTTCAAACTAGAATTAAATCTTAAAAACAAGTTTCTAACTTTGCAGCAAATTAAAGTTGACTTACAAAAATTGCGATTTCGATAAAAATCTTTAAGAATGGAGTCGGCAAAATTTAAGAAGAGCGCAAAGGCCCTTTTTTAAATAAGGTGCCCTCCTATTTAACTCTTTGATGCAGTTCTTCTAGAAAGTGATATATATAAGTTCTCTGTTACACTTTAAGTTGTAGTGAAATTTGGCTGCATTTTGTAGAGCTTAACAAATAGTGGAAAACAAAAAGAAAAAGTAGAAAGAAAAAAAAAATAGAATACAGCACTTAAGTATAAAACTCAACTTGGTATTTGGAATGCATTCAAAAGTTGATTCACAATTTCGCGGCGGGTCCTTCATAGTTAGAGTGCAAGGCTTCTCAGCAAAAGGCTGAGGCAAAAGTTTCAACAGCAAACAATAAACAAAACGCACTAATTAATTAGTGAGTGGGCATTTTGTGCCTGCGAGCCAACAGTCTCCTGCCCGTTGGCCACGTTGGAAGCGGCATTCCGAACCCAGTGCACGGGTGCCCGGGTGCAGCGCTGAATTTGCACGATTTTTCGTTTGCCCAACAACTCTCTATGCGAAATTGTTTTTTCAAAAGGCATGGAATGTGCCAGTTTTTTTAACAGGCAGCTGCAATTTTTGCGTTTTTTTGGCAGCCCAATTGGGCCCTGGGCAGCTGCCTTGAAATCGAAACGGGCAAAAGATTGCGCCGCCAAATTGTTAACAGCAATTGACCCAATTTTATGGCCCTGCACTCATGCATATCTTGCATGGGCTGGAGTGGGGTGTAAAAGCGAAAACTGGCCGTGCCTGTTAACTGTCCAAGCAGCGCGTACAACGTGGCGTATACTTATTGGATTTTTTTAAACCTTTCGCCCGCTGTTTTTGTTTTGCTTTATTTTATTTGTTTTGCTTTTTTTCTGTGCCTTTTTCTTTTTTTTTTTTTGATGTGTGCAGCAAACCAAAAAATGCATGAGGCTGTTTTGCCCAAGCCCGAACACAGTTCTCTCGGCTTTTTACTTGATTTCTATTTTTTGTATTTCTGTGTTTTTTATTTTCTTGTATTGTCGTGTCGAGCCTTGGAGGCAGCTTAGCAGCTGCCATTAAAGTGAGAATTCGATTCGTTGGCTTACAGCCAGCTTTCGGCTAATAAAGAGAAAACAAGAAAAAAGCATTTGATGGAGGCTACCATTACATACACACGAGCAAACTACCCGATTATTAAAACTTTGAATTGAATTAGCCAGCAGAAAGTTACCTTTAGCCTATCCAGAGAGAAGGAAGTATGTGTTCCGCTTTATATTCCAATAATATGATAGATTAATAAACTTCAGATAGTTGAGACAAAGCAAGAATTTTTGTTTTACCCAGCTCATTTATTCTGTGAAACCCAGCTTAAACTACAATTTCTTAAGCTCGATATTTAGCGATATTTTGAAAAATGGTAAGAAAAAAAAAACTCCTTCCGCATATTCTATCTTGTTCTTATGATCTACGAGTTATGCTTACAAAACCTTCTCTAAAAATTGATAGTAATCGATACTATAAAAATGGGCAAACATATCGAAAAAAAAATGGAAAATTCGTTTTGCCTAGTGTATAAAAAAGTTATGTATATAAAGTATCGAACTATTGTTATTTCCAAGATGGACTTATATATATAGAGAACGGACAGGCGGACAGGCTCATCACGGATATATATACTTTACGGGTTCGAAGAGGCTTCCCTCTGTCTGTTGCATTAATGTACCCCTTTTACCGATTCCTTATGGGTGTAGGGATAAAACTATGTTACGAGTAGAAGCGCTGATAGTAAGTATTTTATCTTATATTTATATTATATTATATTCTATATTATATTTCGACTTTGACTAATGACAACAAGAAGCAAGCATTAGAGCAATTTTGGCCCTTAAAATAAGTTTAAATATACAGAATATCTTATATAAGAGAATAATATAGCAACGTATTCGTATGGCGTATGGCAAATGAGAGTCCTTCAGCATGTGCCCATTAAGGTGCTCTCTTGCCATTTGAATAAATAATGCTGTAAATTAAGTAACTGCAACTCAGTGCTCAAAATTCGCATAAAGCACAAATGCACTTGCCACTTCGCTCAGACGAGAATATACACTAGATACTAGCGGAGCGGAGGGCGTGGAGCAGGCTCCAAAAGAGAAGGAGTCGTGTGCGGGACATTGGAATGATTTCACTGCACTGATGCAATTTCGTTGGGCCAAAATAAACAGCAACTGGAATGGGAAATAGCAAAAGTAACAGTTGCAGTAAAAGCAACTTGCAACTTGCGACTGGATCGTGAGGCTGCAGGAATGCGGGTGCGGGAGTAAATGTTGTGGACTGTCTGTCTATCGCAACAGCTGCGGGGTTGGTTTTGGGGGGGTGGCAAACGTCAGTGTTAGCATCGCGGTCTGTAGCCAGGAATTTCTCATATCGTAGCGAGGACACTTTTGGCTGGCGGCACGTAGACGGCGCCAAGCCAGGACCAGGACGCCAGGGCTGAGGCAAGGAAGCGCTCACTGTGACTGCTCCGACTGCTGCCTCACGGCTGTCCCACGCTGTTAGTTCACGTGCTGCCATTGACATTAAGACCTGGCTTGGGTGCGACAGCCACGCAGAGAGATTTGAAAAAAATGTCAGCTAGCCCCGAGTCGAAAAATGAGCAGAAAACGTAGCCAGGGTAGGTGAGTGTGTCTTAGTGGTGCCAGTGAACCACCAAGTAACCGACAATTGTGCACACACAGTCGAACGCCGCCGTCGACGCCGCCCCTGCCACTGGATGAGCGCCGGTACGCAACGCCAGAGGAGGAATGCGAGCGCACGTTTCAGGCGCGAACGGCTGCCCAAGGGCTGGACCATTCGGATGTTGCTTCAACAGGAACTGGGCGCACCATTGATGGCGAGCGGCAGCCTGTTGAGGCACTGCCAATGCCGCTTATCCTGCTGGCTGCACCATTGGGGCCGCGTGAAATGAAGGATGCGCAGGTGAATACCGATCCGGTGTATCCGCCTGGAACGCACGTGGAAAATCGACCCACAGTATCCACAGTACCCGTAGTGCCGGCAGTCCCTGTAGCCGGCCCTAACTCTGCCTTAAAGCCAACTAGATCTGAAATCCCGCACAAATCGCCAACTACTGTGCCTTACAACCAAATGCATGGCCGCAAGAATTCAAGGAGGTCCACCAGTTCCGACAACTACGATCAGGACGAGCCGCTAACCACCAAGAAGACTAAGGTATTCAAAAAAAGTACGTTCTAGATCTACATATATTAAATATTTTAATAATATTGACTACCCCGAGAGACTTTAATGATAATATATACTCTCGTATGTTGTACGCATTTCCCACTTCCAAAATATCGATAAATATCGATTTTGAGACTCGGTCTAACTCGAAGATTGAGAGAGCTAGATACACTAAAATTGCTATGTACATTCTCGTTTGGTAAATACAAATCAAGAATATTCTACTTTTTTAATATCTTCCTCCATTTTTACCAAAATTGAAAGAATACTCGTTTTCTTAAGAGAGCGCCTTGCGCCAATACCCACTTTTGTATTATGCATAGCCCTTGTATTGCTTAACCCTGTAAATATCTTAAAGATCGGTCCTTAAACACCGAAGTTAGTTGAGAATGCATTTTCTGAGGAATAGAAGGAAGTATGATTCGAATTGCAGCTTAGCGCTGGGCACAGAGTATCCCCTGGTCGGGCAATTACATTGAAACTGAAAAATTATGCTACGTGCTTTTTTACCTAACTAATCTTATGCAAATCTGCGTTGCCACTAGGACATGCTAAACCAAATCCGGCTGCTGACGAATCGGATGACTCGATCCTTGTCTCAAAAACCACTAACCACAATCTGCGCAAATCGAATATAACGGCAATGAGCGATTTCACGGATATACCGAGGTCGGACGAATCGGATAGAGCTCGGACCCTGGAGAGCAGCAGCATTAAGTACTCCAGCAGCGGCACGATCATTGTGACCGAAGGGGAAGTGGTGGATCTGGACCCAAACGATTTTCAGCAGCGCAATCTGCCGCCGAACTTAAGGCTGGCCTCCGGCTTGGCCTTCGTAAGTGAGTGGGCGGAGAAGTCTTATCAATCATGGCTAATGATACCGCCCTTAAATCCCGTCCATAGATCTATATGGCCATACCCCCGGACGGTGGCTATGGCTGGGTGGTGCTGATCCTTAGCTTTTTAGCGCAACTCATTGTTGATGGCATCGTCTTCACCATTGGCATATTGTTGCCCCACATGGCCAACGAGTTTAACGTGAGCAACGGCCAGGTGGTGCTGGTGGGCAGCGTACAAATTGGTTGCTATTTTTTTGGCGGCGCCTTCTCCAGCGCGCTGATCAATATCTATGGCTTTCGGCCAGTGGCATTGGGTGGCGTCATCATCTCAGCCCTGGCCATGCTGGCGGCCAGCTTTAGTCCGAGTTTGAGTGCAGTGATCTTTTTTTACAGCATAATTGGTAAGTATCGTCTTCGTATTATATGGATTAAACCCCAACTACAAAGGCCGCAGTCGCCGCAGGTGGACCCGGACTGAGCATGATCTGGGTGAGCTCACAGCTCATCATTGGCTTCTATTTCGAGCGGTATCGGCCCATTGCCAGCGGATTCTCTTGTTCGGGTGCCGGCGCTGGCATATTAATATTCTCCATTACCAACAATATTCTGGTCCAAAACATGGGCTGGCGGAATACCATACGCATTCAGGTAATTCTCGTGTGTCTTCTATTATTTGTGGCGATCGCCTATTTGGAGGTTGCACCATCGCCCGTGGGCGTGGTCCATCAAGCCGATCCCTTGACCAGCAGCAGCTCGAATGAGTATTATGGCAATTTCTATGTGCACAATTTTCTCGGCGATGATTTCTCCGTCAAGAGATCCCACAACGTGATCGAGACTTATGAGCCGCCCAGTAAAAAGAAAGGCAAGCTGCGTCGCTGCATCCAATTTTGTTGTCCTTGCTGTGGAAAATCGAAGCTTAAGGAGGAATGGACCGCCTCTGAGCGCTCCGAGCGCAATTATGTGGTGCGCCCGGATCCCCTGCAGCGCGACGATCTCTTCTACACGGGACCCATTGACTATGAGGAACCGCACCACAAGGAACAGTTCGATGGCAAGGAACTGGAGCTGGTTGGCACCCAAACCCATGTGAGCGCGCCACAGCCCCACACAAATCAGCTCACTGCGAGTCTGTCTGATATATTTTTCCATTCTTTCTTCAGCTGCAAAGCGCTGCCTATGGCCTGCACAATATACACAACTATGACGGCAGCAGCAATATGTCGGAAACGGGTTCCGGTTCCGATGGGCGGCTGCGTCCCCTCGCGCCAAAGCATACATTTTCCACCGCTCCGCAGCCACATCGGCGCAAGAAATCGCGCAAGCCAAGGAAACGTGGCTGGCTCCATACGAAGGTAATGAAGGGCATGAATCGTCTGTTCGATGTACATCTGCTGAAGAGCTTTGAGTTCCGCATCCTGTTGGCCGCCGCCTTCTTCTATCCGATGGGCTTCAATATACCATTTCTCTACTCCAAGATGCGCACCAGCATACCGGCTGAGTATGCCCGGATGATTGGCCCAGCCATCGGTGCTTCCAATTTCGTAACGCGTATCCTGTGCGGATTTATAGCCTACAAGCTGAGGAGCTGGACGAACTATATCTGTGGCGGTGGCATGTTCCTTGGCGGCGTCATGGTCTTCATCAGTGCTTTCTTCGGCACCGATTTGATCTGGTTTCAGATGGTCTATGGGTTGTGCTATGGCATTGCGCCAGGTGGGTTGATACACCTTTGAAAAGTCGATTACGACCGACTGGGCAGTACTCTGTTCACAACAGCTATTTATGTCCAACCCTAAGGTCATCCAAAGACACTTTTAGAGCAATTGTACGCCATATTCGGGAACTGAACATTTAAGCACGATCAGACAATAAGCGCCGAAGCTATTTAAGAAAGGTTTTCCCATTATATTGGGCCAGAAGAAGAACTTTTCTTGCTGGGTTCTGAGTATTCGCTAGTGAACTCTTACATGCTTTTTCCCACTTGTGAACAGAGTATTAGAGTTAGTTAACAAATTAACTACCTCCCCCTTTTCTTCTGTACTCTAACAGCTGTCTATGCCACATTGCGCGCTCTCATCTATGTGCGCTACTTGGGGCTCACGAAGCTGACGAACGCCTTTGGCATTACCGCTCTGGCCATGGGCCTGGGCGTATTCATAGGCACCACTTTGGGTGGTTTGCTGCTCGACAAGACGGGCGGGTATGTGGTGCCGTTTGCCTTTGCTGGACTGTGTATAATGCTGGCGGGCGCTCTGAAGCTGATTTTGCCGGCGCTGCTAAAATGGCGTCGAAAGCAATATCAATCAAGAGCACTCCATAAATAGAGCACAGTTTGCGATGCATTGGCTTTATTGGCTCTTGTTGTTGTTGTTGTTGTTGTTGCTGTTCCAGTTGCTGCGGTTTGAACTGTTTGTGGTATTTTACAAAATAGCTTTGTTTGCTGTTGCTGCTGTCGTTTTTATTTATTACATAATTTTGCATATTTTTCGTGTAATTTGCATTTGATGGATGAATTTTATATTCAATTTGCTACCAAAACTGTGCCTCTGCCTATTCATTCCCAACTGTTAAGCTTATAAAACTGTGCGTGACTCTCCAACTGTTTCTGAACTGACATTTTTAATATTTTGTAGCATAATTTTTATTTTCTGGCTCTAGCAATACATCTCGAGCTGCTCTCAAACATGTTCTATGCTCTATGTGACTCTCAAATTGTTAAGCTGTTATTAAACAATGTGCCTTTCAAACTGTTAGTCATTTATGTTTGCAAGCTACTGCAACTCATTTGCTTTAAAACTATTCATCATTGGCCGTTGCACTTGAGCTAGATATACAGTTTATTGGCTAAGTTGTGTCGCATAGTCTGTCTGTCAATCAATGTGGCTGTCAAACTTTTAATTTGGTATTTAAACTGAAACTGAACTTTTGCCGTTTGACAATTTAACTGAATAAACTGTGTAAAGGCCCGCAAATTGTTATGTGCACACAAATTGTTTGGTCTTGTTTTTGTGCCTTTTAGGCTGTGGCTCTCAAACTGTTTGTGGTTTTGCTCGGTAGCTATATTGAGCTTGTTAGGTATTTTTTAAAACTAGATTTTAATCGACTGCAGTTGTTTTACTTTTATTGCATTCTGTTAGAGTTTAATTAACTTAGTTTACATCTAATGTTAGCTTAATTGCTGTTGCACACACACACACACACACACATACCTACAGAGTGTGAAAGTGTGTGTGTGTGATTTTTGTTCTTTTCCTTGTTTGGTTACGCAAATGTTCACGCTTTGTTTTGGATTTGTTTTCTTCTTTTTTTTTTTTGGTTTGATTTAGTTAATATACTTAGATATGCGAGCGCAGTTGCATCAAAATAAAATTAAATAGAACATAAAATAGTATAACAAAATGTCTTAAGACTTGTGTTTGATTTTGTGTATATGAAAATTAAATTTTGAAGCAATAAAATGTATTTAAAAATAATAATAACAAATGAAATATTTACTTACCGCTCTCGCATAAGTCGCTTTGCATCTTAAATTTGTACGTCTACTATAGATTTTTTTTGGTTTTACGTTTTTTTTTTTTTTTGGATTTTTATATATATATATGACACATATGTTGAAAGTTTTGCTTGATTTATACAATAAAATTAGCTTAAGCAACTCAATTAAAGAACTTATGACACTTTTTTTTTTTTTGGGTTTTTTTGTTGGTTTTTGTTTGTGTTTTTTCTTTTTGTTTTTTTTTGTTATTTTTTTTTTGTTTTAGCCAAATGTGTGTGTTTCCTTATTTGTTTTTTAAATCCTTTTTGTTTTAAATATTGTCAGTAGTCTTCGGTTTCATATGCAATTTTCATGATTTTCTTTTATATATATCTCGAAAAATGTTACTGTCTGCATTTGCGTGCAATTTTAAAATCAATTTCTTTGTGAATTTCGTATCGTAATCTAAATTTAAATTAAAATCGCTCAGCAGTTGGTTTGGGTTTGTTGTCTGTGCCGTCTCTGGTCTCTGCGCTGCGGGATTTCTCGTATTTCTCGCTCTACTGTTGTCCACAAAAAGCAATTCTTACGCCTTAAATTAAAATTATATTTATATATGGCCGGTTGCTGCAGCATAGCGCGTTCATGTGTCTGAATCGGACCTGCAGTCATTATTGGAGAAATTAAATGCATATTTGACTACAACAGTCGATATTGAGCAGCTGGGCGGGTGGGTGCCACGGCGGGCGGGTCCACTTACCAATTAAAATAGCTCTGCGGCCCGTGACAGTTGCGCTCGGTGCCGCACCATTTGGACTGCTGCAGCGCCGGGCAGGGTCGCCCTCCGCGCTTGCCATGCTTGATGACTTTGCGATATCGATGCATCTCACCAATGCCGCAGCTCTTGCTGCAGGCCGTCCACTCGGACCAGTGGCCGACGCGACAGTCGCGACGCCGCTTCGACGCCGCCAACGAAGCGCGACGTCGTGATGAGCCCGTTCCCGTGCCTCTGCCCGAGACGGAGGCTGAGGCTGAGGCAGTGGCAGTGGCAGTGGCAGAGCCTGTGGCCTTTGCCGGGTAGCTCGTTATGTTGTTATTGGCCGCATCGGTGCGCCGGTAACTGCTGGCAATGCTCTGCATCAGCGCATGCTTATCATTCTTGGGCACCACATTGACCACACCGCCCGGCTGTTGGCTGTTGTTGTAGCTGGGGGAAGGCGAAACAAAAATGGAAAATTAAATTAATTAATTTCATAGAAAAGAAAGAACATATCGATGCAATGAATAACTGTTTTTTAAAAATATGTATATTATTTAACATATAAAATAAAATTCTATATAAAATAAAATATGAAAAGAATTCATGTCTTTTATTGGAAAAGATTTTGTGCATTGTCTTAAAGTAAAAATGTAAATATTTTACAGTGTGAGGCACAATTGAGGTCGCTGGTAGCAGTGCACCGAGTTGTTAACAGGCTGTTAACAGACAACACCTTTAAACTGTTAAGATACAAAAACAACAGCGTTTTAACAGACTGTAGCCACAGACTGCCCACACAAAAGCTACAGTCTGCCAAGAGACGAAAACTACAAGCTGCTATCAGAGAGCAACTACAGAATGTCGACACAATTGTGACAATCTGTTAACAGACAACAATGTTAACATATAGCAGACTGTTGACATATAAAATATTTCACAGTTTAAGGTTGCTTTCTTAGTTGAAATCAATTTTTAGGTAACCTATTTACAGACTATCATAAACTGCTTATGGGATCATTATAGGTCTGTTAAATGTTGAATCATAAAAATATTGTTTTTTGTTAACAGTTCTTCCATTTAAAGTGATATGTAAAAGTTATTGCGTAATTTTGCATGGGTTCGCGTCACTGTGCACGGGCACAAATTGCGCATGAAATAACATTTACTTGCTACAGTTTGATGCGCTCGTCTAACGGTAATTGCCGTAAATATGATCAACACAAATTGTTGCTAATAACTGCCGTTCAACACACACACGCACATGTGCACACAATGTGTGCTGTGTGCTTGTTGGGACAAAATTTCTTACTCTTGAGAAAAAAAAGGAATGTTTGTAATTTCAATTTGGGAAATTTTCTTCATTACTTTTCCCACGCAGCCTTCAGTCGGCAGACCCAGCTGCAGCCTCTGGCGACTGTGTTTTTCCACACGCCTTTCCACACATTTTCCTCTCACTTTCGACGCTTTTGAGGCTTTTAAGTCTGTCGACTCGTTTGGACTTTTTAGTCTCGCGCTACACGTTTTCAATATTTTCGCCAATTTACTTGTCCCTGTATTTCCCGAAACCCAACCATGCCCGCGCCCTCCCTTCTGCTCCACGCTACCTTCTTCCATTCGCTTGATTTCTTTTTTCATTATTATTTGCGCGATTTTGCACGGCATATACGCGGCATGTGTATGCAAATAAACGAAAAGTGCAGGAAACAAAACACGGAAGTCGCCCAGGAAGGAAGGAAGGAAGGAAACTGACGGCGGCACAGCAAATGTTGCTTCAACCTCTGGCCTGGACCAGGCATGTTCTTCCTCGTCGGCCCTATTCCGAGCGAACTGCAAAAGGCAAATTTAAATTGAAATTGTCTACAGCTGACGTGCTGAAATAAGAAACGCGCTCAGCGAGAAAAACACCTTGCAACAACAGCAGCAGCTAACATGGCGTATGCGTAATCTCTCTGTGTCTGTGTCTGTGCCTCAGAGTCTGTATTAAGGCATACGAAATCCTGCTTGTAACGCAGCCTTCTATGTTCTGCGCTACTTAAGCAAATCATAAAAGCAATTGATTTACAAGCAAATTCCTAATTTAAAGTAAAATTATTGCCAAAAAATTTTCCTAATGCAATTTTTTATTAAAGTAGTGAAGACATGTTAAATGATTTTTCTTATTTTGCTCTATTCGATGAAGCGAGCAGGTAAGAGCGTAGGGTCTACATAAATCTACCTATCCTCTACCTGTTATACCCTCTATCATGTTATATTCAAAATTGCGGGAAAATTCTTGGCAACGTATAGAAATAAAAGTCTTACTGTAAGTCTTTTATTAAAACACAGTAGCTTTCAAACTGCGAGTTTGTACATTATTTGGTGAATTCTGTAAGGTTTTACCATTTATAAACATTGTCTGTGAACGGTTTTTAACAGCTGTAATATAACAGGATTTTGTACTTAATACTAGCTCTAGTTTTGGTATTGCTTTTTAGCTTTAATATTAGTTATTAAGTCTTTCATTTTGATGCTAAATATTTAATTGTATTTTTAAGTGAATAGAAAAATTACAAAATTTAATTTATGTTTTTCTCTGTTACGTGTTACCTGTTAACGGCCTGTTAACAGTCGAAGTTTTCAAACTACAAGGGTTTTAGCACAGTTTTAACCTATCAATCACATTTTATTTCTTATCGACTGAAGCTAAATAATTACCCTAGAACAAGTTATCTGGCCTTTGACAGCTGCAAAAGACTGTCCTATTTAAATGGTTCAGTCTGAAGGGGACTTCATAAAAGTGACGCATTGATAAGTTTAGATAAATTTAAAGATAACACAATTAATATTCAATTTCTTTAGCACTTCAATGAAAACGGCCACAGATTTGCGCTCACAAAACTTATAAATTTATTCACAGTCACAATATATAGGATATAGATTAAGAGAACATATGGAAGATGCTCATTTAGTTATAAAGAAACAGATATTTACACACAAATCACACGCACTCTTCGTCTAGAGAATAACACAACAACAGACTTCCGGCTGTGTGTAGACAGTGGCTGTGGCAACGGGCGGCTGCACACGCGCGGTGACCACTGCGGGTCGTGGCAGTCCGTAGGTTTCGACAACAACTGGCGGTGGTGGTGGTGCAGCACCGATTACAATTGGTGGCGCACCAATAACGACTGGCGGCGGTGCGAAGCCAATGCCCACGCCAATGGGCGGCGGTCGTGCCCCAATATTGACATCCACATTGACATTGGTGCGTCCGGGTGGCGGCGGTCCGGGGCCATAGGGTCCTGGCCGAAAGCCGGGTCCAGGCGGTGGCCGGTGCACTGGTCCGGGTCCAAAGCCGCGTCCTGGCGGCGGCATAGCGCTATCCTTGAGTGTAGCTCAGCGCCCGCTGATTGACCGTTGACTGACGGTCGTGAAGTGTTTTATCGGAATGGTCATTCACTTTTTGGAGTTGCCCACGAGTGGCCACAGCTAATTAATTATCAATTACGTTTTGTCAGCGACGGTGATTTTGTTTGGCCAACGATTAGATAAGGGTGCGTAGGAGGAAGCTTAATGCTCACATGCAGATAAGGCAGCTTTGTCATCGATAAGCGATGACTGTGCTTCACCAGCGTGGGGAATGTGCTCTAAACATACAGAAGCAAGACAAATAATATTGTGATTTAAATTGCAGTAAGCGTAGTGGGTAGTTAAGAGCTGAATGGTAAGTATGCGACACCCCTGTAAACTAACATTTCTACTACTGTGTAACATATATGTTAACTTACAGAGGTGTACTAAGAACTTAAATTTATAAAAAATATTTTAGTTTTTTTTTGTGTTTTTTTAGACAAAGGAAGTTTTGATAGGGTTTCAGGACAATTTAATATTGCATGGTCATCACATTAGCTGTGACATATCTTTCTAAACATATTTTCGAAATTCTGTAAGACAGTGGAATGTTAGGATTCCAGGAAAATCGAATGTTAACGTTCTGAACAATTATAAAAAGAACGATATGTAAAGTATATGCAAAAAACCTCCACATCGATTAATGTAATACCTAGAACTAGTAATTTCTCTGCTTATTGATTATTATTATTTAGGCAAATCATTAATAAATTCAAAATAATGTCGGATAAGATGTTTTAGTTTATTTCGTATTTTGGATTATTCTAGTTAATGTGTGAAAAACCTACATAGATGCTCATAAATAATATGAACTATATGGTTCATCTCCTCCAATGTTTTACAGCTTCAAGCAGGCCGTATGTTATTTACAGACAGCTTAAAGCATTTATTTAGACAGCTTTAATTATGCAGCTCTAGATCTACTGCAATATATGCGAAGTGTGTATATTGACTAGAACTTAAGAAGCTTCAAACACACACACTATGCCGCTGTAGATCTAACGCATAATACATTCCATTGGAAGGCCCTTTTTTAAGGGTAAGTAGAAAGCTTTAACTGTTACTTAAAGCTCCAATTAAAGCTCAGTTGAAACTCTATTAAAAGGTGTAGATTTATATTAATTGCTTAGGAAATCCGGCAACAACATCGTTTCTTCGGCTCCTGCAGTGGTGGTGCAGTCAAATCCATGCTGACCCTATAGGATTTTCTGCGTTTATCGATGGTGTCGGCAGTTACCTCGCCGACGAGCACCATAGGTTGTGCCAAAGGCGCCGCCTTTATCGGTTGATTCTCAATGATGAGCTCCGTTTGGCGTACTGATGGAGCTGTTGCTGTAGCTGTCGGAGTTGCTGCCACGGTCAACGACTGCACCACCCACTCAGAGCTATTGTTGACGGCTGGTACTTGTTGTGGCAACTGCTTAACTGTAACCAAGGGCGCGGACTGTTGTGGCGGCGCATCCAAATCCGTTAGCCACACAGCCTGCTCGGTTGTTTCAGTTGGCGGTGGTGCAGGTGCAGACTGCTGCAGTTGAGTTTCACTGCTGAACGCTGTTTGACTTACAGTAGCTGCTACTGCTGCTGCTGCTGTCACTGCAGTGTCTGCTGCTGCTGCTGCTGTCTGGAGTGGTTGACAGCCGGTTGAGTTGCTGGGCGTGGGTGGTGTCTGCATTGCCAGCGGCTTTGGCTCTACAGTTAATGATGCTGGCTGCTGTGGCGACGCATCCAAATCAGTAAGCCACACAAACTGGTCCTGCTCATCGCTGGGCGTTAGATAGGGTGGCGAGGACTTGGGCAGTGGTGGTGGCAAGGACATCTGTGGTTCGGCTTGTTTGTCTTTATGATGATGGTGGTGATGTTCAGTCTCTGGCTGTTCAATCTCTGTAATATCCACGCCATCGCTGACATCGGTTATGGTTAATGTTGTTGCCCCTTGATCATGATGTTGACGGTGATGATGATGTTTGTGATGATGCTGTTCATGATGCACGCGTTTCGCCGGCGTTGGCGACGTCTCAATTGTTGCTATTTCAAAACTTTCTATTACTATTGCGCCATTTATTTCCGTGCTAATTTCTTCAATTGTTGTTGTTGTTCTGCTTTCCATTTTTTTTAATTTAATTTTTCGCTCGCGTTCCGCTGCGTTTTCGCTGTGTCGTCTTACTAAAATTTTACAGTCCCCACCCCGTCAATTTATAGTCTAATGTTTATGTCATAGCAAATGTATTTTCATGCCACAAATCCTTACAAATAGTCGCTAGATAACCGATAAGATAGCTGCCAAATGTTTGGGTTTTTTTTTCGCTTTTAACTTATTTGGCAACTATTTGACTTGACATTTGGCTGTGCTTGTTGCTGTGGCTGTTGTTGTTGTTGGGGTAACTGCTCTCGAGCTTTACCTTCTGGCTGCTGAGCACTGGACTCTACAAATTACATTAATTTTTGATATAACAACTTGCATTTGTATAAGGATCTGGCATTTGGCTTACTGCTCTTTTGTGGTTGTTGTTTCTGTTGTCGTTTTCTTTGTGCATTGTTTGCACTCGCTCCAATAATAACAAGTGTTGCTGGCGGCACAGACATTATTTGTGATCTATATGTTTGTTGCCTTGCTGATGTTTTTGTCTGGACGCAGTTAACTCTACTGTTGGCATTGGCGGGCACTTGCCTTACTTTTATAAGTCGAACAAGCTGCATATCTCACATAGCTGATAAGATATTAATAGATAGTTCAGAGCTGTCAATAGGCCAGGGCTCATTTTTTAAATTCGACTATTTAACTATTGTAATTGATAACTAAATGACGTCATGTTATTGGGCTGTTTTAAAGCACAGAGTTCATTGAATGCACTCCAATTAAGTTTGGGTGAACCTATTATTTATGGCTTATTTTGAGATTTATTGCATGTGAAGTTATATCTAACCATATGTCTTTTGCAACATGATTTGACTTTTGATCTTGAATACATTTGGATAAAAATATCTTTCGTTTAGGTTTCAGTTTAAGTGATTTAGTTTTGTCTGAAATTTGCTTTATATCTGTTTGTGCAGGGCCTCGCATTTACTACTAAAATAAATGTAGATTTTAAGCTCATAATGCTTAGTACATTTCATTAAATATCAGTGGGATGTAAGCATTGGTTGGCTTATTGTGTCACAAGATCTTTTTTGTTTAGTTTCGCATCGAACTAGTTTGTGTGCAATTCACAAATTTGTACATGCTATAAAATATAACCTAAATGAGACCAAAGAACAGTCCAATCTAAGACTGTAGCAAACTTTTTATTTATTTTTTTGTGAGAGATATTTTTGTTCAAGCCAATACTATATATTGGAAAAAGTTAGTTCATCAGTCTTTAGTTTTGTTTTGGAATTTCTTGCGGCTCTGTAGTTTTTTGTCTTTTACAGCATTTCTTATACCACTTTTTGTGAGTTTTTGCTGTGGCTTCACTTTGCTTGGGATTTGCTTTTGGCTCTTGCGCTGCAAAATGTACGATGAATTTCTTATGTGAATATTCATTTCATAAAGGTCAAGGCTTACTTTTTCGCTGCGGCTGCAACTGCTGCTTGTATTGACTCTGCTGCAACATTTGCAGCTGCTGCATTTGTTGCAACCGCTGAATCTGCTGTTGTTGCTGCTGCTGCCGCGGCATGTTGCATGCGCTGTTCAGGGCAATAAGCGTGGTTGTTGCTGTCAGTGCGAACATATTGCTGAGACCGGCTGTGTGTGTGTGTGTCGAGTGCTTGGTGTGTGCTTTGCTTTTATAGACGCCGAAAGAGGCACGCGACGGCATTTTGATAAGATTGCGAGTAATTACACTATCCGAGCAGGTTTTTGGCGCTTGGCATTAGTTGGCATTGCTCTTGGCGCTTTTGTCAGCTTGCCAATTGCTGTTGAAGCCAAGCCAGGCCACGCCTACGCTCTAGCTCACGCCCACGCATCGCCAGCGGCACTTTAGCCAGCTGGCACTCGAACACGTACACGCCTCAAAGCCACGCCTGCCCCCAAACTTGTTTGCTACCAACTCCTGCCTGCCCATCGTCTGGCTTGAATTTGGTTTGTTTCTGGGTCTCGGGTCTTTGGACTTGTCATTAAATATGCAGGTTACCAGTGCCAATGGTGCCAAAATCCACTCCACTTGCACGCTAGGTGGGCGTGGCACTGGATTAGTTTTAGTTTGCGTTACGTATCCTGCACGTTGAGAAGACCCACTGTCCTAGGTCGAGCAGAATTTCAGTCTTTAGTTTTCTGGCACATTTGTATACCCTGCAGCCATAGAAAATTGCTTGAAAAGGGCTACAATGTTTATTTGAAAGCGTTTGACACAGGCTGATAAAAGCCATCTAAGTTGATCAATTGACTATTAGGTCTAGATTAGCGAAATGTCTTCTAGTTGGATATTAAATAATGTTTATCTATATATTTTCGTTTGAGCTCAATTGATAATCGACTTTTTAGCCTGTACAGGTTAAATATATCAACTCGAGCTATAAGATACAGACATATCAAATAGGGATTTTCGCTTTACGCAGAGCAAGAACAAACATGAATTTGTTATACTCTGTGACAGAGGAATGAACCTCGCCGGCCGCAGGGCATCTTCTAGTCGGTCACTCATGACAGCGCGCCTCTGTTTGTTTTCTTCGTCCGCTTTTGCTGTTACTTCTTGCTTCTGGGGAAAGCCTTTTAAAGTTGCAGCATTAGCCCAGCTACGTGCCACGATCTCTGTCAGTGTCTCAGGACAAACACGAACGCCCCGCCCCTTCGTCCACAAGCTGTTTGCCGGAGTAGTGTAATGTGCTTTGAAGTGTGCTAGAGAGCTGCTTTTGTTTGTTGTTGCTGCAGCTGGTGCCTGCTTTAAATGTGTTGCAAGTAGTTTTCCACGTCGCGGACAAACACCTGACGCATATGTTAAGTATGGCGAATTGAGCCCACACTGACAAGGATACGCAGATAAATAGCCAGAGTCAACTGCATTTGAGCATGCGTCACGTATGCACAAAAAATGCACAGCCTTATGTAACTATACATATCTATATAAATATATTTCTATATACAGCAAGGATGTCTTACAAATCGCCTCTGTGTGAACTCTTGTTAGCTTTGGGGAACTACTTAATTGCGTATACGCCTTGTATGTTCTTTTATGTTTCTGCCTTGTCATTATTTTTTATCGCTCCAGCTAATTTATCATTTGCCTATTTTTAGTTTCTTGTAATTATTGAACATTCACGACTGTGTGCTTGGCTATATTTAGCTACAGCCACGAAGTAAATGTTCATTTTCGTGTCAATTAAAATTAGTTTAAGAAAAGAACGAAATTGTTATTGATTAAGGCTTAGCGCAGTTAATTACAATGAATTGGGTCTAAGTACTACAAATATTGATCGGCTTCATTTGGAAAATGAATGAGCACTTTAGAACGGAAAAATTCTGTTTAGATTTAGTATTTTTTTTTTTTTATAAATTAATATGCCTCAAGTATAGAGAAACAATTTAAAGGTAGCTCAGAGTTTTTCTTGTGGAAGCTTTGTTTAATTTGAAATTAAAGCGCACATTTTTTGTACTCTACTCACTTTGGATTCATTTTGGCCAGCAGCTGTGAGCGTATGCGTTGCCGCTCATCATTAAAGGGTGTCTGCTGCTCCCGTTCCCGCTCCCGTTGACGCTCCCGTTCGATGCTCGCGGAGAGCTCGTTGTTCATCTCGACGTGATTGTGCTCGGCATCCAGGTGGGTTTGCGTCTGGACTGTCTCATATTTGCGATCATCCTCGGCAATGTTGAATACTTCGCTCAGCTCGTACTCCCTTAGCTGCAAAATGGAAAATGGAAGATTTTCAGACTCAGCAAAGCAAATGTTAAGCACACACACGGGCACATGTGAGTGTGTGTGTGCAGCATATTAATTTACGCGGATTATGTGCCCGGCATGAGCAAAGCGAATGCTTACAGCTAAATACAAAACAGGTGCATGAATAGCTGCGAGCATTCGTGTGTGAGCCTGAGTGTGAGTATGGACATGTGTATGTGTTATGTGTGTTTGTGTGAGTTTGAGTACAGGTGCGCCTAACGCGCTGCTAATTTCAATTTGTGGCAAATATTGACACAGACACAGCAGAGAATACCACTATGCGGCAGGTGTGTACATGAGCTAGAGCCAGGGCAGGCTTAGGACTAAGAGGTAGCGAGGGGTAGCTCTGGCTATTGGGTCTGCGACACCGAGTATAAAAACTTTTGTTGGCGCGCTGTCGCGCATTTTAATTTATTTGTTTGGGCTGCTGTCATTTTCTATATAGGGAGAGCGCTTCGCATTGTTATTGCCACATTCTTGTTGTTGTTGGCCCTCTTTTGCCACACTTTGGGCCCGCAGCTTATCGGGGGCTACCTTTTTCGCAAATGCGTCGACAGCGCACGGCTCTAGTCCGCGTGTTGCTTCTGTGGCATTTAAATACACACGCACACGCATACACACACAGACATCCACACATAATCCGCACGGCGCAACAAACACTGTGAAATTCCTTGTGGATTACAAAAACAGACCCAGATCCAAATCCACAGGCAAACAACACAGGCTCAGCTGTCTGCTCTCCACTCACGGTCTCGACTCTCACACATTCCATTCCAATCCGAGATTTCATGCCCTTTTTGGCATGCGGCAAATGGCACACAGAGCATTTCCGGCATTCACTTTAACATTTCAACCAAATTTAAGAATTTAATGCTCAACCAAATCAACACATAATTACACCGAACAGCAGGCGGGCCTGCATAACTAAATCTCCTGGCCTGGTCCACATGTCTTGGCCATAAAATGAAGCAGACGACCATTTCTTCTAAGTAAATAACTTTCCATTTCGTTTGGCCATAAACAAAAGTGGCCAAATATAAGCTAAATAAAAGCGACAATGCGCCAATTAGCGCACTTTGAATACCCTTTCTTGTATTATAGTACAGTGCTTGGGTTGGATCGATCCACGATTTCATATACCATAAGAAAAATTGAGCTTAAATTAGGTTGATAAATATATATCGAACTTTAAAGAGTTGTATAAGGAAATCCTATTATCATTGGACATCTTGAGATGAGTTTTTAAATTGTAGAAGTTTTAGTTTTTGATATTAATTTGATTACTTATTAGATGACTGACATTGCAGGTGTACTCAATGTAAGGGTATGCAAAAGAGTAGACATTTTTAGGGCCTTCACACCAACGTCGCCAACCAAATGCCACGCCCCCAGCCACAGAAAATAAAACTAGAATTAGTTGTGTCAAAAAGGCGTTACAGCAACAACAGCAGCAGCAACAACAACAACAGCAGCAACAAAAACAACAGCTCGGGCAAGCAAAACAACACCAAGAACAAGAGACGGCCAACTGGTGCTGAAGCTGGCCAACAAATAAAGAATAATGACCACACGTACAGTGTAAGTGCCACGCCCACACCTAAAGCAACAGCCCCCGAGTAACTATGCAAACGTAGTCGAAACATCTGCCAACAGAGCTGGGCGTAAATTTTATGTGCGGCCGAGAGACGCACATAAAAGCAATTTTGATGAGCGGCAACGACTACAACCCCTGGCTAGTTGATAAGGGGTGGGTAGGAGGTTGGTAGGGGTACGAATTGCGGGTGGAACTGGGCGTAAGGTTCTGTGTACAACAATGTTCTATCCATTGTGAGCGTAAGTGCCGCACTTTCTGAACAACGTCCAGCAATATAATTACAATGCCTGAATAGCCGCTGTGTATGTGTGTCTGTGAGTACGAGTGTGTGTGCGTGTTTTTGTGTGTGCGTGTGTGTGTGCGTGGGCGGTTTAAGTGACTGTTGCTGCCGCTGCTTCTTCTTTTATGTTAAGACCATGGCAAATTTTGCATTAGCATTGTGCTGAAATGGTGCACGTTCACGATTTGTGGCAACTAATGGATTGGCGCTTATTAAGGCCAAATGCAATGGCGCCTTCTCTGATGTGGCCTCTACTGCTCGGGCAACGGGCGTTGGTAGATGTAGCTAAGATAATGTAATGGCGATTTAGAAATAATTTATTGAATACAAGTGTACCTTTAATTGAGGAGCCCTCGGCTCGCCGGGGGAATTTATTTAATCTTTGTGCGAAACATTAGAATGGTTATTCATTATGAAATTGATTGGTGGCTAGCAGAAGTATGTGAGCTCCTCAGGGAATAAGTCGAGTTTAGTTGCTGCATGAAAGACTGTAGTTTGTGCTGCGTATTCCAAAAAGTAGGTCTTGGCATTACAAATATTTTTTTAATATTTTTTGAGCCCCTTATCATACCATGTTCAATTCTTAAATTTGCCTTAAAATTTAATTTCTATTACCAAAAGTGTGCCCATTCAAGCAAGCCACCTTATTAGCTTTCTTACAGCACTATTTTTCTGTTTACAAGACTAGTTAAAATGAAACTTCTTAGGTCTCAATGGCACTCTTGTTTGCTTTTGAAATATAAGCTGTTCCACTTAAAAGCGATTTTCTATTTTCACTTTCTGAACTGTACACTTTGTACTCCGAACTTTACAGCTGTTATTCTTCTTCTAAGCATTCGATTTTTTGCTGCTTTTATACCTGAAACAGACTGTTCCTTTTCCCAACGTTGGAACATATTTAACAAAATATATTGAATTGAAATAACATGTAATTAGTGTTGACCTCGCATTATACAATTGCCTAGTTAACATTCTAATGATGGCAACAAAATTCATTATTTGCTTTTCAGCACAGCCTTTGTTGACAGACATATCATTTAAATTAAATTAACGTAATTTTTTATATATTTTTTTTTTTTGTTGTAAACTTTTTTCCCGCGTTTATTTCCGCCCGCTTAGCGCCAGCTGCTGAAGCAGCTGATTTATAAAGCGCATTAACACGCAGCCACAGGAATATGCTGTGGTCCCTCGGAGCACACACACAAACACACCCACAAGCACACACGCAATGCCATTACACATGTTTGACGCCATTGTAATGCTAATGGCTCATTAGCACTTTGATTTTTTTTGCTTTTTCTCTGTTTTATTTTTTTTTTTGGGTTGGGGTTTGGGTTGAAGGACGCACATGAAAAGTCATTAGGGGCTGTAAACGGGGGCAGCAACATTTTGACTGCTAATTTGCAGTTAATTAAGTTGTTTAAGCTTTTTTGAAGAGCACATCAGCAGCAGCAGCAGCAGCAGTAGGAGCAGCAGCAGGTGCTCCTCCACTTACCTTGATAAACTGAAACGTGGCAATGGGCGGCAGCCGCTTGCTCTTTGGATAGTAAAAGCTGCCTGCTGGATGGGCCGGATAGCGTGACGTGATGCGATAGATGACGCCCTGCGGCGCTGTTGGCCAATTGGGTGCGGTAAAGGTGAAGCCGTTGTCGGTGCCCGCATCAAGTGGATCCAATTCAACGGTCACCGTGTCAATCCAGGAGCCGCCCACACAAAGCTGCAAAAAGCAAAAAAAAAGCGAATTTAGTGTTTGGGATTTCAAATGCATTTGATTTCTCGGTTTGCAAAGCTCACCTCAAACGAGTCGACGCCTATAAACCAATCCGGCGAGGGCACAATGCGCGTCATTAGCGATACCAAACTGTGATTGCTGTCCACAAACACTTTCGCCTCGCTCCGTCCCGCTCCCAGCTGTATGGCCGGCAGGCTGAACTCGTCAAATACGCTGCGCTCGGCCATTGTTGGAGCTGTGCCTGCAACCGTTGCTGTCGAGGATTTCTGTGCCTGCATCTGTTGCTGCTGCTGTTCGCCGGCATTGCTGTCCAGCAGCTCCGTTTTGCCCGTCTCGGCGAACTGTTTAACGCCAGCCGTTGCCGGTTGTCCGATGTGATAAAGCCCATAGTTGGCATTGTGTGTGCGACCTGTGGGCGGATGGGAGACACGTGCTGAGTCATTTACATTTAATGAGCTTTAAACAGCAACAGCAACAACATAATACAAAAAGAAACAATTGCTGCAAATTGTGGAAACATTTGCATTGCAACCAACACGCGACACTCGACTCGTTTTAAGCGCTGCCGTCAGCTGTTTTCATTTGCTATCAGCTTAAATTTCAGATTACGTATACGCAGCGTGGCCATGATTGCGCACTTAACTGCATTAGAGCCGTGCTCATGTGAGTGTGTGTGTGTGTGTGTAAGCCACTATGTTAAAGTGAGCCATTAGCGAAGTGCAGCGTGGGGGTTTTCAAGTGTGACATATAATACTTAAGAGCCCGCTCAGGTGTTGAAAACGGCTGTCACATATGCTTACATAAGTTGCAGCAACGTTGTAAACATATTTATAAAACTATTAAAATTACTTTAATAAGCTGTTGAACTGTCTATCAGAGAAAGTTCTAATAATGCCTGCTTATGGGAATAGAGAGAAGCGGAAAACCAAGTTTAGACCCAATGTCAAACCAAACAAAGAATCTTATATGAAAGTGAAGTGAGGAGCGCAGAGTAAAGCTAATTTATTATTTACTTAGGGAATTGCTAGAACTTCAATCTCTTTTAACGCTTCTCACTACTTTATTCCCTTATTTCTTGTAGGAAAAGAGAAGCTTCGTGCGAAGAACTAGCCAATACCAAAAATAAATAATCTCCAAATATGTTACAATATTTTGTGAAAAACGTGTTAAATATTGAAGCCTTGAAAAAACCAAAATAAAAAGTGAATGTCAAAAGTAAGCTGGAGCTTCACTGCGAATTAGCTTCGAGACTGATTCGATTATTAACGGCAATGACACATTGAAAAGTTTTCAAACGGCTGCTTTAACATAAGTGAAAGGAATTATTTCAGAGACATAAAAAATAAATTTAAATGATAAATATCTAAGATTAAAGAAAAATGCAATAAAATAGGAAGAAGCGAAGTGAGAAGCATTCTTATAGCTTAAAGGCCACATAAAAAATTAACACACGCTAAGAAACTTGAAGCCGCGTTCAACGAACTCGAGGGTAAAACTTGAAGCGGAATTGCAGAATTAATCAATGAAATTCTCAACAAACTTTTTAAAAAAGAAAACTGGTAAAGTTGTGCATTGGAATAAATTATATTTTTACTTTTTTGTTGCTGTTATTTTTAAATAATTGAGAAATGCTTATTCACAATTCCTTTGGCATTGCTTAGAACTTCTCGCGACTGTAAACAAAAACTTTTGCTGTGCTCTACTTAATGAAAGCCATAGTAAAGAGAACACCTTTTATAGAAGCCGTCAACATCTTTCAATTCCAATTGCTTTTATGGCAACAGAAATCCATGGGAAAAGTTTGAGTCAAGCCAAAGCCAATTGCAAAGTCCGTGCAAAGCGCCATTTGCAATTATTGGCTAGCGATCCAAAAGTATGCAACAAACTTGTCAATTACACAAAGTGCAAGGCAAATAAACAAAAAGAAACAAGAAAAAAAAAGGTAAAATAAAAAGCCAAGGCATAAATAATAATATTGCATTTGACACACTTTCCAAACAGGTTGCCTCTCGTACCCCGCACCAATACCAACACCCCCTCTATTGGCTGGCGGCATTGCATAAAAGCGCAAAAGTTGAAAAGGCAAAAATATGCTTTGTAGTTGGGGCTTTCATTAGCCGAAGCGTTGTCAAAGCTGAGCAGAGCAAGAAAAAACTTGTAAATTAAAAATAAGTAAGCAAAAGAGGGACAAAGTGAGATATATAAATAAAGAGAGAGTGAGAGAAATAGAGAGAGAGGGAGAGAGAGAGAGAAAACAAAACTAATAAATAAACTGACACACTGTGGGAGCCATTGAAAAGGCAAAAACCAAACAACCCAAAGAAAATATCTCAAAAATAAAATGAAACAAGACAAGGCACAAAAATAAAAAAGTGCAAGAAAAAACAGCTAATTGCATGCCGAAGATTAAATACCCTATGGCTTCAGATTGTGCAGATATGGGAGAAGTATTATGCGGATCGTAATTGGTGAGTTTGCTTAATAGAAAATTTGCTTATATAAAAAATCATTTTGTAATATTCAAGTTTGGTTGGGATTTCTTGAAAACGAAACAAGTAGACGGGCAGACGGAGATGACTAAATCGGATAAAGAATATATATTGATATAGGGCTCATGCGTTACACATTTCATGGGAAAATGTTAGCACCCTCTATAAGAGCATACGAATGTGGCACAAGTGGCATGTTGCAATGTTAATTGAAGACAAATAAAAGCCTGGCGACAGCGAGCGAAAAGGCAGAAGGGAGAAACCAAGACGAGACAAGAAAATGTAGATGAAAACAGACAGAAAACCGCAGTCAAGAGCAGCCGCAGTCGCAGCATTCGCAGCAGTAGCAGCAGCTCGGATATAACTTCAAAGGCGCTGCAGCGCATGTGACAAAGCGGGCGTGGCAGTGGGCAGCAGCGGGTGGCAACATCTGATGGCTGGTGGCACAGGCAGCAACTGCGGCAGCGTGTGACAATTTTCGTTGTGGCACAAAGAGGAAAAAAGACATCGCACTGCCTGAAGGCGAATTGGAGCGCAACATTTTAAATTACGTGTGGCAATGGGCAATCCGAATGACTTTTTGTTTCAAAGACTGAAAAGGAGGGTAGACGAGAGAGAGATGGAGAGAGAGAGAGAGAGAGATGAAGATGCCTATAGGCAAAATAACAAAAACAAATCATGACCATGCTGCAAGCAATAACCTGAGCAAATATCATGAGTTGCTCAAAAAACAAGATTAAGTAACAAGTCAAATAAAAACAATCCTCAAATATGAACGGAAAACATGATTAAGGAAATATTTTGACAATTATTTCAAGTCAGTTAAATCTTGTGGCTATTATGCTCCACTTTTTATTACGATGGGTAAGAGTAAAAGAAGCTCTAGCCCTAGCTTTCACTGCAATTCAGCTCAATAAAATCATAAAACGAAATATTTTAATATAATTCTCTCTTATAATACTTCAGCAATAGTATAAAATAAACGCTTCATTAACCATTTGCAGTGTACAGTAAAAAACTTGTCTTATATTTTTTAAACCAGCACTCAAAAAATAGTTCTTAACTTGAGCTGATTATTATAACCACTCAGTTCGCTCTTTGTGTTTCGCAACAAAGGGACTGGTGCATAATATCTTCCGGCCTGCCTGATCTGGCTTTCAGCCGAAACCGCATCAGAGCTCTTAAGCTTCGGCAGCAACAGGATGTCGGTCGAGTCTTAAATAGCTGCACAGGATGCATGTTCTTCGGCAGGACTTTTGTCGCAGTTACACAGAAAAGACAAAAAGTAGCCAACATCCGTTGGCCTTGCACTTATATGAAATTAAACTCGCTTTCATGCCAGCCGTTGTTGGAAAACCTGGAAAATGTACGCCCTAAGAAGTCGACAGCTAGCAAATGCTGCGGTGCAGGCGAGAAAAACTTAAGCAGCGTTCTGCATTGGAGTTGCTTACAAGATTTGTTAAGAAGCTTAGCTCGGGAGATGAGCTCTCAAAGTAAGAATTATCCGAACTGTATAATAATTATAATAATAATAAAAATAGTTAAACTAACTAGGCTCAGCTTAGCTCTAGCTGGCTATTAGATGCTTATCTTGTTAAGTTACTTTGGTCAAAATCGTATCAGTTAACATAATATCTATAAATTTACTGCTTAGCAATCTTTGAAACGAATAAAGGTCATTATGTCATGACCAATGCACATTTGTCAGTTATTTTTGCGTTGGACCAGTTTGGCTGGAGCTTATGGAAACTTTCGCTTTCGGGCCAATATGAGCAGCAGCTCAATCAATTACGACATGGTCATTGCATTGCCCACAAAATAAGCATAATAAATTTGCAATTAAATGCTTAAATTGTGCAAATGGTTTGCCAATGCGGTGGTCGCGGTGGAAGCCAATCGAGCTGGTGGCCACCGCCAGTGGTCAAATGGTCGCCGTTTAAATGACCACTGCGAAAGAGATAGGCAGAGTGAGAGGAGCGTAGGGCAGCCGATAGATCTCTGGCCGTCTGGGGGAGAGATAAATGTGCGCTATAAAAACAAACAATGAAAAAGCCAATGCGTGCGAGAGAGAGAGAAAGCGCGAGCGTAAGGCTATGGGCAAAGGACGTGAGTGTAATTAATGCTTAATTATGCACATTAAAAGCCAAAACCTGACACGGCTGTTCCGTGCACCGCTGGCCACGTAATAAATGCGCGCCACGTATGGCCCATAAATTACACTTTGCCCCACCATGAAACTATATTGCGCATACGCCACATTGTGCGTGGGCCGCGCAGCAGAGGCAGCTGGAAAGCTAGCTACAGAAATCGAATCATAGCTATGGCCATATCATAATTGAAAATCGCAAACTGCAACAAATTAATATGAATTTGCCAAATTGACAAAAAAAAATGCACACACACACATACATCGTTAAATAAATAAGGAAAATAAATAAGTTAATGGTCGTAATATGCAAGTGCAATGTGGCGCAAAGCCAAAAGTTTTCCCGCGGGTGGTTTAATAAATATGTGTGTGATAAAATCTGCTTCAACTATAGAAAAGTTTTTGCTCTTTTGCAGCTTCTACATAAGCATCAAAAGTTTTTAAATTAGAGAGTAAACACTAAAGTGCGGGGATTATGTTCAATTGCTGTTAACATAACAGAACTGAGAGCGGGGGAAGCGCATAACATAGTTTAAACTACAACAGAGAAAGATAGGAAAAGAATGCAATAGAGAGAGAGAGAGAGAGGGAGAGAGAACAAGGAAAAACGAGAGAGAAAGAGAGAGAACAATTAGAAGGGAGTGGTGTTAACATTTGCAAATATGCTAATATGTTATCCTTATTTTTATTTCCTCAATGTTAAAATCATTGCTAAAATAATAGGCATATATTCCAAGTTAACAGAGTCTTTTTAACATCTTTACAATGTTAACA